AATAAACAAACAAAAGCAGGAACGAAAAAATAATTCTATGTATGTACTAGGTTCACATTTGCATCATAAAAAGCGTAGGTACTTAGAAAATCACTTGAAAGAAAAATAAAAGAAAGAAATCACTTGAAAAACATTTCAAAATTTGACTTATATATTTGGCTAGGAGCTGGAGATTCGATTTTAAGAAATGCAATGCTTTGTGGGCTAACATAAAGAAAAAGGCTTCTTTTTTATTTTTTTTATTAAAAGGTTTTAGGGATTGAATCCCATATACCCCAATAAATCATATGACCGTTGGTTTATAATTAAATATGAATTTTGTTTATTTTTAATCAAATAGCCATTAGCCGAGTGAGATTCGCTTTAATTACCATTATTAACCTTGGGAAGACATGGGATTAATGAAATTTTTTAATTTTAGCAATCTCTATCCACATATTGATAATTATTTTGCTAATATTTTTTTCAAAAGAATCTCTAAGTCATTTTGGAGCTCTTGCAAATTGCTTGGTATAATGGAAATGTGAATTGTAAGTTGAAACAAGAGTAAGGAGAAAGAACAACAAAATTGATGTCCATCAAGGAATCTATTTCAATTGATGAACAATTTTAATATTAGTACAAATGAATGATATTCCAAGTTAGCATGATAAATTGGTTTAAATTTGGTGAGATTATTTGAAAGCAATTATTTTCAATCTTCCAAGGACCCTTATAAATGTACTTGAAGGAGGGAATCAGATCCCAAGAATGTCAAATTAATCATGAACTAGTATAGTTGAATTCTCTATATTATCAAAAAAAAAAAAAAAGGTAAACATTTTATTTGAAAGAAAATTAAAGAAAATGTCAAAGGCAACCAAACAAAGTTACATGCATGAAAAGTTCATTCCTTCATCAACATGGGAAAGAAAGGAAACATGATTATTGCAACAAGGCAAAAGGAAAGGACATATTTTTGCATATATACAGTTTCATGGGTAAGTTTAAAAGTAAAATACACATAATTGGAAAGGGAAATAGATAAATTTTTTGAATCACTTAAGTAGCCGGCCGGAAGACAAGCATGATTGAAAAATTTTCATTTCTTATCCAATATTTGATTGGACAGTATATTTTATGAATGGATTGACAAAGGGAAATGTTGTCATTAGCCAAAAAAATTGTTACGAGAAAGCTATGCATAAATCATAATTATTGAAGATGATTTTACCATTTTTTAGTCTTTTATATTACAACTAAAGTTTGAATTCGAAATTTTCAATCTTAAAATCAATTCCAATGTCTCTGATTTAACAATTCATTAGTAATCTTACCATATTTTTGACAGTCTAATGATCTATCCAAAACAGCTAGATTGATTTAATTTGGTTTAGGGTTGAACTATTTGAAATGAATGAATTTTATTCCAAATATGAAAGCGACTTGGCAGTCGGCACATTATCTTTTTAAATGGGTTTGGAATGTATACTGAACTTTTGAGGAACAACTAGTAGTGGAAAACTATCATGAATGATTCGACAGACTGAGTTTCTATAAGTCAAATTTCATAGGTTTCTACATTTTATAAAATAATTAAGACCCACTTGCATCGATCTCCATTGCCATTTCTTTGCATCACTAGTTAACCATATTCCCCTCCCCCTCTCCCTCCTAAATTAAAATAGTGAAACCTAATTGAAAAGAATCCGTGGTATGATCTACAATATCTTAGTTCAAGATACGCAAATATGAAACATGTTTATACATGCTTCATAACGAACAAATTTCAATAATCTATCATGAATACAGCCAATTTTCTCATATAAACACAAAGTACATAGTATTTTCTTAATTTTGTAGTGGAATGATTAATAAGATTTAAAGGAATTTATAATCACTAATGGGTTTATCGAGATAGGTACATGCCAAATCAATTGTTGAGTTCGAGACAGAATGTTTTGGTCGTGTCATGTAAGTTAGCTAGTTAAGGGAATATAACCAAGGGTAGATTAGAAATAAAAAAAAATCTATAATATAATTACAATATGGTAACTGATATTTTTAATGATAAAATTGGACGTGATTAATCGATTGTTTAATTTTATTTTCATTGACGTGAATATTTAATTGAATTGAGGCTATTTGACCTAATAAATATTATCAAAATTGTGATTATCTTAACAATTCATTAATTTAAAAAATGGATACTTTACCTCAAACTTTTTAATTAATAGAATAAGAAGGTTTTTTTGTCAATTATCTCTTAATTATTTTGAGTCTTATTTAAATATTATTTTATCCTTAAAAAACCAATACCTTGAAATACTCATAATGTAATATTTTATAATAATAAATTATTTTTATTTTTTCTCAAGACACATAATAATATAAAAATTTTTTTCAAATGCAGCATATAAAAACAAAACTTACAATTATAAATATGTTAATATGTAAATAGAAATAACAAAATGAATATATTAAACATGTAATAATTTTAACCAAACCTTTTCTTTTTTCTTTTCAACCAAACACTTTTTTTATTATTATAAGTTACATGTTCATTTTCTTTGAAATTTGTTCCATGTCGAAAAATTGTTACATGTTCAATATATTTATTTTATTATATATATTTAAATATTAACATATTTATAATTGTAAATTTTGTTTTTATGTATTGCAACTAAAATTTTTTTATATATACTATTAATGTATTTTATATATTTTAAGAAAATACAAAAGATAATTTATTATTATAAATTATTATTTTATGTGAGTATTTGGGATATTAATCTTTTAAAGGTAAAAACATTTTTTAATGAGATTATTAACAGATTAATTAAGAAATAACTGACAGAAGCACCTCCTTATTCTATTAATTGAAAATTTTAAGGTGGAATGTCCATTTTTTAATTAATAGACTTGAGTTGAATTATACTTAAAACTTAGGGATTTAAATGGAATTTATCTAAAAAAACTACAATCACAATATGGTAACTGATATTTTTAATGATCAAATTCGGTCCACAATCTGTTTTCAAGAAATTCAATTATTGCCTAAAGAAAATGTGTAGACATTTTCATAGACAATGCAACCATTGACGTGTGAATTTGATGTAATATTCCAACCATAAAGACTGAAAAATTCTGATAACAAACAACAATGGTAATGGAATGTTTTGTGCCCACCAAAACAAAAAGAAAGTGGATATTGTTTTCAGTAGATATTAGTCATGATGATTGACACTTTTGAAAAAACATGGCTGTGTTAAATTTCAGAATTTGATCATAAAAAAAAAAAAAAAAGTCAATTGAGAAACGCATTTTGTATACGATATTGCTTCATTACCTATAAAGACATGACAATAAAGCATTTTTGAGGTCAGAAAATGGCCTCTCTCTCTTGCACACTCTCTCCATGATTTTGACCAAACAATCTAAAGTGCTTCTAATAATGCATCTTTGCCTCCACCCCGTTGTTTCTATTTGGAATTTGGAAATGAATTTTAGCATGTCCTGTTGAACTGAAATAAGGTTGAGTAATTTTCGAATATGATATTAGATCTACGTAATTAAAATAAATTTACTCAACTTAAATTTTTAAGTTATGCATGTGCGAATTTGATATTAGATTTTTATAATAAAAATAAGTTTCTTCAATTTAAACTTTTAGATCATGCAAGAGCAAGTACAATATCATATTCTTATAATGAAAAATGAGTCTATTCAATTTAACTTTTAATTGTGCTCATGCATTCATCATATTTGATATTAGGACTTAGAAGAGTGAGAGAGTGGCCTACTTTAGTGGACATTGTTGAAACTTCAAGATTTTGCAATGACCTCAAACTTTTTTGCTTTTCCTTAGAGGGATTCATGTACATAATTCAATGCAATAATGCTATCCTTGAAATTAGATTGAGGCACCTAGCAGAGTAGCAGTTGACATTTTGCATTTCTCTTTCACCAAACACCAAAGTTCCTTTGCCTTGTTGCCAATTACCATCAGCTGCAACTTTATAAAACAACAATGTGTTACAATTTCTGAACTAAGCTACAAAATATCGAGTGTCCACCATCATGAAATCTTTGAAATCTTATCCTTGTTCATTCCATGCAAGATTTTTACTCTTTGAAATGTGGGGAGCCTATGGTTTTTTATACTATGGGCCTGTGGGGTACTTGAGATATTGTGGAGACAAGAAGTTGCAGCCTTGCCTGATATTTCCTCTTGAAAGGATTATCCGACACCTACTTGAATTTTATATATGTAAAAGATATAGAAACATATGTAAGTATATTATTATTTTCTGAAAACAGTTTCTAAATGCCAAGTTAGCGTTTCTGTAAGACAAAATATAGCAGTGTGACAACATAGCTTTATGGAAAATAATGTCACATATATTCCCTTTATTAATAGACATTCAGTAAATATGAACATTCCCCAATTATTGTGTACAACCTGACAGATACCAACAGCCAACTAGTCTAACCCTAAGTTGCAGTTAGTTACTCTCTTGGCTAACTGCTGTCCATGATTCAAAAGAATGTTTATAAAATATGGCTAATGGGTTCAATTATATGCCCAATTTAATGGAAATAATCTAAACTGAAAGCTTTGGTGAGCATCTATATTTTATCCTGCTCTTGCCCCTGAGCCGGCAAGATGGGTTTTAAGACTAATTTGAAGCATAGATTGCGGGGAGAAATGGTTTTTTGGTTCAACAAGAAAGTAAACAAACATTTGCTCAACCTTCTTCTGCCAGAATGTACTATGAAAATATAATTTTAAAGCCTCAGACTTGAAACTATATGATGACTTGGGCTGGAAAAAACTATAGAGGTAGTGATGCAGCAATTAACACAGAAAAGAGGTTACAACTGTTTTCTGACTGCTAGAAGCATGAATTCTTTTAGCGGCTGAGTTTTGCAGGTTGATTACCACAGTTCAGAAGCTGAAAAAAGACCATAACAAAGTTTATTTTTTTTTTTATTTTTTTTGTTTGGATCACTAAGTTCATAACAAGCTTGTTGGCTTATTGTTGAATGTAAATTAATTGGCAACATTATTGATCATTTGTGTCGTCTTTTTGATCCCTGGTACAGTGAACCAATGCATACTTCAGCTGAGGTAAATGGGTCTTTGATATTATCCTATAAGTTGATCAGTTTTGCTGCTCTAATTATCCTGAATATTCTCATGAAATTGAAAATAAATATAGGAAAATCCTTGCTGTTCTGACTTTGCTTTGAAGCTTACTGGTGCTCTGATAGCAGTGAAAACAATACATTGATTTAAAATAGGGAGAAAAAAATACGGGTAAATTTTTTCCTAGGCAATAATATTTTATATAATCACATATAAGCACTTCGTTCATTAATAAGTTCGTGTACCTTGTTCAAAATGTCGAAATCAAATCTATTTTTCTTGAACTCAAAAAATAATTGTTGTTAGGGATGGAAATTGTTTGCCCGAAGACGAATCAGAATCCATCATATTCATAATCATCTTCGTAATCATAGACTTCGTTTTCAAAGTCCAGGTTATTGTCAAATGTTCCTCCTTCATCCCCTTCCTCATCGTTGTCGTCATCATATTTGTCTACTAAATCACCTTCTTCTTTGCCCATTTTAGAAACCTTCTCTTCCTTTTCATCAGAATGTGATTCATTTCTTTGTTTCTTGGGCTTCTCTGGAGCCACCTGTGATAGCAAAGAAACCAAACCACAAATACATAAAAAAATTAAAATAAAATGAAGACTTTAGAACAAGCTAAAGTTAAGACAACTTCATGAAGTTTGTTTTGGAAAAGAAAAAACCTGCCAAGCAGCAATAATGTAAGATGTTTACAGGAATTTCAGTTACTTTGACCACTCCAGATGAAAGAACTAGATAACTTCGAACCTGGTTTTCTTGATTCTCTTTAAACATCTAAATTTAACATTTTTTAATGTACACAGTTCATTCCTGAGACATAGTGCTGATATTAAGAGATACAGCAAAGCCAAGATAAACTAAGATAAAAGGAAGATACATGGGCGGTTTCTGGATTGTACTGATTACAGTGAACATCAGATGCAGCCGGTATCATACCCACCCAAATGAGAAAGTATATGTGTTTCAGTATACAAAAAGGGAAACAAAAGAAATTAAGAAAGTACTAAGTATCTATGTGTATGTTTGTCTCTACGGTCTAACAATTCATTTAAAATATTAAGAGCACATTAGACAAACATACCGGTTCATCAAAGAGTTTCTCCAATGCATCATAGTTGATTTTTGAGCTTAGTCTCTGCACAGAAGCCGTATTTGTAACCATCAGTGAAGGGAAAATTAACCATCAGTTACTAGAATCCATATTAAATATCTATAATTTTGTAGTTTTACGAGTAAACAGCACACATGCATAGACACTTATAAATTATAGAACCTGCACGCATGCATGATTATGACAACAGATGTGGATTCCAGATGCACCTTTGCTTTTTACTTTATAGTCATACAGAAATGTGCAAATGCTAGGACTGTCAAATGGATTCTAGGTAACTTTTAAGTCTCATTTAAAAGAGATTGTCTGGAATAGGAAGATTTCAAGGTTTCTATTTCAATTAGGTAATGAGATTGAATGAGAAACCAAAATTTGACATTATTTCATAAACAAATTCCCAGTATCCAAAAATTTTGAATTGCATATGATTTATAAATGTCGAGAACGTAATCTATTAACAAATGATGATTTTTTCTGGCCAAAAAAAATAATAAAATAACAAATGATGTTGTAGTATTTAGTTTCTCTTAGCCCAGTTGATGTCATTTTGTTCAATCATTCCCCTCCCATTCCAAGATAAAAGCTATTGTCAGTGAAATCTTTTGTCAGAGGGATTTTCTATTAAAAAAAAAACCCTCAATTTTATGATTGCCTAAAATTTAAAAATTACACAATAATAGGGAAATTTTACAAACATCTAGAGAGAGATTATCAGTTTTAATTTCATCATCCCAAAATTACTTCAGATAATAAGATTCAGGTAGCTGAAATTATTAGAACACTTCATTGTTCCCATTTCCAAGGAAAATGCATTTTTTAGGCAACCAAAAATACCAGAACTAAGTTTCTCTATTCAGCCATGTTTTACCCCTTAGCCCAAAAGGAAGAAAAAAAAAAAGGCTATTTGATACCTTTCTATCCAGCATTCGCCGGGTTGCTTCTGCAGCGGTCTGAGCAGGACCAGCTTTTTTTGCTTCAGCAGCTCGCTTTTGTTGCCTCTCCTGTTAATACAATAAAATCAAATAAAAAGAGAAAAAAAAAGTAAAAATATGGGCAATAATTCTTGAAGCAATTGTTCTTAAAAAGATAAGTATGACAATCCAAAGACAAAATAATTGTTGGACAAAACAATAACATATTGTAGGCATGCTAAGGTTTAGAACTACACTCATAATTTTACAAAAAAAAAAAGATAGAAAAAAAAATTCTTTGAATCAAGCCAAAGTGGTAAGTCACAGCTGAAATAAAGATCAACAATTGAATGCATGTGGTCATGTATGTATCGTACTAATTGTAGTTTGTTTTGCATTTTTTTTACCATTTTAGATATTGCCTTCAATGCATATCTTAAGCTGTAATCAATCATGTTTTGATTATATTCTAGTAACATGATCAAAGATTTAATGCTCTCAATTGCACATAGGTTATAATTTCAGTTTTGAATAGTGATGATAGTACCCTGGACACTTAGAAATGTACCAGGGTACCTACAATATATAATGAAGCACCAGAGGTGGCTTACATTTCTCTTGATATAATTTTCAGAAATCAGGAAACTTCCCTACTTTTCTTGATATTCAAGAATCACCTTTCTAGATTTTGCCACTACTTCTGCAGCAGCTGCAGCAAGCTCCTGTGCAGCTTGGAGGTCTTCTGGACATTTATCATAGTTGGCCATAGAAGCTTCCTTGGCAGCTGCTGCGGCTGCTTCCTTGGCTGCTTGTTCCTGCAAAAGATTGCAGTATGATTAAGTTCCTGTGAAGATATAACAAGCTAAACATATAGCATCATCAAGAATTTTATTTTCCCAATAAATTCATGAAAGCCAAGCCAAGTTATACTTTTCAATTGTTTTTACTAATGCAAAAGCACTAAGCCACAAATTAATAATATCAGACAATTTCTCAGGATTCAGGGCTCAATTTAACCACGTAACAAAATGAGAAAAGCCATCTAATATATCTGAATTAGATCATCTACTCAAATATATCCGAATTATTATAATAGGAGAAATTATCCTCTTATGGATGTTTTACGCCAGAAAGATTTACTAAATGCTTCTTATGATGCAGATTCTCACACGGGCAACATTCCAATGTCATGAATACTACATTTAAAGTGTGAGATTAGATTAGGGTAGGCCCAAATACATTTGAAGAGATGCTATACTCAACAAAGTCACGGTTCATGTCACCTCAAGATATTCCCGATTCATTTCTTCCCAAATTATCTTTTTGTAATGCTTCTCCTCTTCATTGTGAAGATAACCATCAACCTGAAAAGGTTATTTTTGAGTAATTCCAAAATGTAATAAGAAAATGGCATCAAAATTAAGAAGACAACTCAACTGATAGTGCTGTTCTATACACATCATAAATCAACCAACACTTTCTAAATAAAGTTTATAATACATATAAAGATATGCATGACATTCATACAATAAGCATGTAACTCTAAATTAACTACATACATGCATTAAGACATAGAACGTATTAAAAGACATGAATAATATTGTTGAGAAAGGGTATATCATTGAAGGCTACTTGTAGGACTAAATTTCAGGTCAGTATGGTTGATTCTAAAACTGACCAGCCAAACTCAATTCTAAATAAACTTATGAAGGAACTAAGCTCTAAATACCGAAGAATAGATCTTAATAATAAACTTAATTCAGGTAAATTGTAGTTAGTTCTTGCATCTTTTTCCCTTTTCAATTTAGTGAGTTTGTATTTCTTAAGACTTTGAGCTTTTACCGATTAACCATTATTTAGATGCAGAACAGCCCAGAAGAAAATATAACAAAAGTGGTGCTGATTACCCACTCATACATTAGTTCTGTTGGTGGGTGATTCTAAGCTTAACTGAAGCCCAAATAACTTCAACACAAGGGTATCATATCTTTGATGGCTTATGGATGCAGTGCAAAAGATGATTTTTCCAAGTAAAAGAAGCAAAACAGTTAAGCTAGGTCAAAGCTCAAATCACTTGATATAATGAATTTATTTAATACTAAACATCTTAAAAAGGAGTATGCCATTAGACTGGAAATATAACCAAAGTAATTAGTCTGACACTTAGTTAAGCAGATTCAGCTTAGTACAAGGTACTTTTTCTTGTCAAATTTCATATGGACAACGCAATGTCAAAATGAAAGAAATCAGACTTATTCCCTACCTCAAAATCATCAATATCAGAAAAGTTATCTGATTCATCATCACTACCATCAACACCGGGTAATTTATCATTGTCACGCTCATCCATGGCTGCCTGGTTAGTTGCACCCTCTGAAACCCCTGAAACAATACCTTTTCTAATAAAAGATCTTGGGCATTTGGACAAAAAAAGTCCAATTATTAAACTATGTAAAGCATGATTGCTCATGAAAATAAAACTTACCAATATTTTCAGGTTTTTCAGATCCACTTGCAAAAGGGCTGCCAGATACACTCTACAGTTATCAAAAACCAACAAAACAATGAAATATTGTGCTAAAGAATGACTGCTAGAACTATGTTGAAGATGGCCTCTAAGGCTATAAAAAAGAAACTAAAAAGTATAGCAAAAGAATAATTAAGCAAATAAAAAGTATAGCAAAACAAAACGCGAGGGGAAAAAAAAGATTCATATATCCTGTCACAAGAATTTAAGACAGGATAATCTCACATGATTAAGCAACATAATCTTGTCACAAACAAATTTCTCACTACCAAGTGTTTAGACTAAAAAGAATGACAGCACAAAATCAAAAATCTGTCAGCTCATGAGGAAGGGAGGCAGGGATACAATAATAGAATAATTTTTGCATGCTCATGTGGAATCTCCCATCCAAAATATATGAAGAGAATATAATGTAGATTCTCAACCATTCACTGTCCTTTTGCCTTTACAAAAGTACAGTCACAGCTCTTACTTTAGCATTTTCCTCAATAGATAATTTTGCTATTCTCTCTTTCTCAGCACGCTGGAATGCTGGTGGATCTGATCCTCCATCAAGTCCTCCTGAAACTTTCATGAACTGCACCAACCAGTTAGAGCATGAACTTTAACTTGGATGATAAAACAGTTTTCAATGGTACAATTGTAGTGGGTGAAAGAAGATAAGAAAGAACATGGGAGCTCACCTCTTCATAACATTCTTCACAAAGTCCATAAGCAAAAGGTTTTTTCTCCATATGCTTACATAGCACTTCATGTATGCTGGCTTCTTTTGACCCAGTATTTGGCCGTTTTTTAGTTAATGAACTAGTTCGAAGCTCCTTCTCCTTTTCCGTAAGCTCCTCAATCTAGTCAAAGTTTAAAACAATGGAGGAATTTCCAAGAAATGCAATCAAAATTTAGAAAACAAATGCATTGGAGAAAATAAAAAATAAAAAAATGGAATATAACAAATTCAACATAACTCTTGGTAATGATAAAAATAGGCATTGAACTTTTCATAAAATTCGTTAGATATTGAGTAGAGTGCACACAAATAATAACAACAGTAATAACAGTAAATAGTTACTAATCAAATTCTACCATGGGAAATTAATAACCGCATTGAAACAAGTTACAATTGCAACAACAACAACAATTATAGAGATCAGATTATGCCATCATGCAGTTAGGAAGTTATATTGACATCAAAAAGAGAATATCCAAATTACCATAAACATCAGTTAGATCAAAATATGGTTCTTCCGAATTACTAATTACAATCTTCTTCCATTAAGAGTTTCCTGGCACAATGCAGTTTTATATTGTCATATACATGTAAAAAGATACATACCGTCAAGCTTCCAGAGTCTGTATTCTCAAATTCAACCAATCGCTTTGTCAATGTTGCTTCACAAATATGCACAATCCTTATCTGATAAACAGAGAACTCAATTAACCCAAAAATTAGACAGAGAAAGAGCATAATTGGAAAGGGTGAGGGGAAAATCAAACAAGAATCTAAGTAAAGAAGAAATTAGAACTTCAAAATTGGTGAAATCCTCATCTAAGAAAATAGTAACAAAAGCTGCTCACAGACATAAAAGAATTTCTGTTATCTAAAGAAAATTCCATAAATCAAACAAAGAAGGCTAAAATGTAAGGAAAAGGACAAAATAAAATCAACTAAATTGTAAAACTAAGAAATCATTATCTGGCGGATGCTAGGTGGTCATATGATCATATCCAGAATTATTTTCTTAAAATATATCCAGTACTATTTTGGCTTAAGGCTTGTTGTGGATTTCTTTTACTGTTTCTTTTTCATTGTTGTCAAATTACAATTCAGTTATTTTATGCTTATACTTTTAGTACCATGATGATAAAGTTTCCTTTAAGGCAAAAAGTTAGCATCATTGACATGTGCATATTACTACAATGGCATGTTGTAGAAACGCCTTAGACAGGGCAGTGAGGCAGTCTAAACCTATCCCTACTATAGCTTAGGTCAAGACATGCACCCCAATCTAAAACCACTGAATTACTAGTTAGGACGTTCTTTAATATGTGTCTCATCTGGAACAAGCATGACATGGTTGGAAGTTAAAACATCTACTAAGTTGCAAATCCTACCCATAAACTTAAATTTGCAAAGTTTGTCCTTCATAAGTGGCTTATAATATAACCACCTATTATAAATAAAAAATGAAAACCTTAAAGATTTTCAAGCAGAAGGAACAACACCATATGATTACTGAAAAAGGTAAAGAACAAAAAATAAAAAAATGAATGATAACTTACAATGTCTGACTTAGAACACTTCAGACCATGTGAGAGTGCAGAAATGTATAGTGCTGCCCCGCATAATCCACTGGGTTTTCTCCCTGTCTGTAAATACATGTTAACTTCAGTAAGATTTTACCTCCAAAAATTACCAAGCATAATACACAATCAAAATAAAGTACTTCAAAAGAGAATCACACCTGCATCCAGTCCCGTTTCATGCTAGCTAAAATGTCCCGTGCAGTTTTAACAACTTCATCATTCCCTTCTGGAATCAAAACTGCAAAGCATATTGGTTATTATGCCTGTCTGGTGTACGGTGTACAGAGCACAAACACCAGAACTATTCAATCAGCTAAAGCATGTCAAGGTGGGAATTGATTAACTTACCATTTGTAAATTTATGAATAAAAATTGAAGGATCAATTAGTTTCTGAAGATCTCTCGTCTCAGCAAGGTACAGCACATAGCAAAGCTGCAGATAAACAGAGCCTAGCTCATAACTGCAGAAGAAACAACAGAATGTCAATTAAAACAAACAGGTACTGGTTTAAAAAAAACAGAGACAAAGGATTATTGAGCAAATAATTTTTTTTACAGAAGGTAAAAGAAGGAGGAAAATTCCTTACACATTTATATTTAAATAACTTGAAAAATCAATAAGAAGGAAAGGCTTTTTCTTTTGCCTGCAGATCCAAAAATTATATGATTAAGGAGGGAAACAATTCAACAGTTCAAAGAACAAAAAGAAGAAAGAAAAAAGGGGGAAAAAAAAAGGAAGGACAATGATTCAATCATGGAATTAATATATATCCTTGATGCCAAATTTAACCACCAAAAAACAATGAAATAAAAATAATTTTTTTCTTTTTTTGGCACAATAAAGTACATTCTAATGTACAAGACTTTACATTAATTTAGGATATCAATGAATCAAGTTTCTCATGATAGCTCTCTCTCTCTCTCTCTCTCTCTCTCTCTCTCTCTCTCTCTCTCTCTCTCTCTCTCTCTCTCCCCCTCCTGATCCTTGCATATATAGAATGAATTATTGTTAATAGCTCTGCAATGATCTAACTTTCAAGAAAGTGTAGTACTAATTTCATGTGATTCTCACAAACACAGCATGAATGTTCTGTGCTTTTCAAATAGCGAACCCCTAGCTGAAAGAGATCCTTTCTAACCTTTTGTATCCAAATTCCAAACCAGTAATATTCTTTCTACATTGAAACCCTGGCCACAAAGACATTTATTTGTCCAACATCAAGCCCTACAATACAAGACCTTACCCTCATTCCCTGTGTAAGATATCCTAGCCCAAAAAAATTTTTATGATATTACCTTCCTTTTCCTTAAGCCTGATATTCACCCAAATTCCAAGACCGAAATGCCTAAATAAGGACATAATAATCTAAAGGCATACTGCATCCCATAGCAACCATCATATGCATAACATATGAAAAGATGAAAGGAAAGAATCACAAGTTACCGTGTTTTGCAGAAGTAAACAAAAAGAAAAGCCAATAGCATGCAAATTTCAAAGAGAAATATTTGAAAGGAACAAAGGGCAAATGCTTCACATAATTTAAAGATAGAAGGTAAAGAATCAAGCTTGGTATTTTACAAATGTCGAGAAAAGGGGTTTGAAGTGGTAAAAAATTACTACCATCTGCATAACCTTACATTTTCGTCAAAAATATGCATCCAGTAACAAAACTCAGACAATAAAATTGAGGACTTAGCGAAAAATAAGGAAAATATGTAAAATACCTGTGTGAGATAATAAGAAGTTTACATATGTAAACTCTGATTTTTGCAATTGTTTTGGCATGTACTTCAGTACACACCTAACATTATTTGTTACACATAAATAGCTGAATCATCACATTTTAAATTTAGACAACAAAGCACGTTCAAATTCAGACAACAGTATTTCCATGAACATTACAAGTTTAACAAAGCAGCATTTCTCACCGGCATGCAAGATAAAGACATGCAGCCTGTACTAACTCTGATCTGCGCCCCCTAGTGAAATTCCGTTCAAGGGCAATCTTCACAATGCAGATTAAAATAAATTAAAAAATTGAGGGAAAAAAGCAAAATAACAAGCAACAAAAATGAAACTTAGGCAGAACAAAAACATACTTCATAAAAGCGTCTAGCAGTTTCAACGACATCATCGCTATAATCATCAATACTTAATGCATCCTTCATACATCTCATATCATCAAAAGCTGTATCACCAAATGAAATCAAAACCAGAAACAAAGAAATTTCTAAGTCATGTTGCAATAAGAACTTTAATGCTAACACATTGTAACCAACAAAAATGCAACTACAAATATAAAAGTAAATTTGAGCCAGAGGAAGACTAAATGTCAAGAAGTGATGAAATTAGAGCACCCAGAAATAGCAAATAAAAAGTTGGGAAAATGTATCAATAATCCTTTACCAAAAGTAGAAACATATAGTTTCTAGCATAGCATAGATGCAACTTAAAAAAAAAAACCTTTATCCAATGTCCTCCTACGTGAATCTGAAATATCTTGAACAGACTTTACAAAATTTCCAGACAGTTTGCTCTGAAAACAAAGTGAAATTAGCAACAAAAATCAATAAAAATGTGAGCCAAAAACATGAAAGCAAAGAACAACAAACCAAACAAAGGGAAACAAAAGTTGATCTCCTTGATTCAACACACTTCAAATGTAGTTTATTAAGACACATCCAACAATGGGTCTAATAGGCCAATTTCTTCTTGATTTTAATCACAAACTCATCCAGCTATGCTCATATTTAGGAAACTATAATTAGCTAGCAAGAAGCAAATTTCTATCCCAACAACAATGTTCAACTAGTTTAAACTTAAATCGCAACTATTCCACTAAATTTTAGCATAAAGTTTACAACTTTTAATGAATTTTTCAACCTGGAAAAACTCTGGATATATATTCATAACAATTACATAGTTCCCAAAACTAAAAATTATATACAAACAAATAAACATTACCAGGCCAGCTGAATCTTTAACAAATTGCGGTTCGGACGCAAAATTGTATTCTTCCAACACCTTCCCGCAAAAAGTACAACACCTGAAAATTTTAATTGATAAGTAAATGAATAATGAATCAAGAAATTGGAAGTCTATCCAAAAAGTAAAATAAAATTTTTTAAGAGCAAGAAAAATTACTTACAAAGGCCCATCATAGACGCGTTCTCCAGTAACGTTTCTGGAACAATTATTACAATAAACCATTCTCCTAAAATTATGAATTTAAAAAAAAAAAAAAAGCGCAAACTTTTTCCTTTCCTTCCTTTTCTCAGCAACCAAACAGAAAACCATGAATTGTCGAAAATTTCAAATTTTAAGTATGAAATCAAGTTAATAATGGATGATAAAAAAAAAGTATAATAATAAGTGCAAAGAAATTAAATAGAAAATCGGAGGTTGCAGGAGAGGGAGAGTGGGTTGAGGAACGGTTAAGAGAGGATGAAGTTTAGGGTTTAGTGGGACGGTAATTTTGAAAATACCAAAATTTAACTGGGCGAGTTTATATAGTTTTCCGAATTTGAGACCCGTAAAACTCGAACACGTGTTTTTTTACCGAGCGACTCTGTGAGTATAGAAGAATTAAGTGACGTGGAGGAAGGGGGGTCTATTGACAAATAAATTCTCATATTAGGCCCCCAAAAGAATATTTCCAATTTTTATATAATTTTGAAGGTGAGAAAATTGGAATTCCATTTTCCAATGTAATTTTTTCGTTGAGTAATAGTGAAATTTTTTTAATTTTACTAGTAAAGTTAATAAAGTAACTCTGTGTCATCCTATTAATTTTGATAGTTAAATTAAAAATTTTCATTGTCAGTGAAAATTTTTGGTATTATTAAAAAAAATAATATTTAAAAGTAAGATAATACAAAAAAAATTTTTTAAGTGCAATAAAAACAAATCCTATGAAAAATTTCATTGTTTTTAAAATTAATAAAATTATAATTATAATAAATTTTTGATAAAATTGAAGTACTATAACAGAATTGAATATAAAAAGAGATCTAATTGTGTTAGTATAAATTTTACATTTTTTTAATCTTTAAATCAAAATAATTTGATTAAAAATATTATTTTGATCCAAATTATTCATGAAATTAATTTTAATCTAATGATAAAAAAGTATAAAGCTTAACCTATACAGTATATTGGCAAAAAATAAATAAAAATAAATGGTATATAGTGTAGTAATCAATCTAGCTTTAATGCCTAATGAAAAGCTTAAATGGACAATATATACTATGATTCAATTAAGACAACCATATTAGCATATCAAAAAGAATTAAGATTAACATATTACAATTTCGGATTTTGCACTTTGAACTATAATAATTAAAATCAAATATATTATAAGTTTGATATTAAATTTTAATACTTATAATCTTTTTTTATTTTCAGGTTGCGACCTATTTTATAAAAATTAATAGTAAATTTTATCTTAGTCCTTTTGATTTTTATAAGAAGGGGGTGTTTTAAAAATTAAAATCCTTGTTTTTTTATTTTTTTTATTTTTTATGCAGGCTGGGTTTCTTCCACAATCAAAAGAAAAGATCAAATTCTGACTCTCCTTTTGCTACAGCCTACAGCACACATGTTAGTCAAACAACTACTGCCCTTTGTCAAAGCCTCATAAGATTTTTGTCACTAAAAATTTCATCATGCATCTTGAGCAGCCTTTTCATCTTCTTGTCATGTGAAATTACATTTTGTTCTCTTTGCTATATGTAAGCATTATTGAGTTTAATTTATTGATAGATTTCTATCTTTTTTGGTTGATTTTCCTTCATAAATCTCTTTGATTTTCATTTCTTCTTTTCTCAAATTTATAATACATCACCTTGAGTATTAGTTAGTAGCAATTCAGCTGCTGCTCATTACAAGAATCAACACAAATGATTTTCATTAAAAAGGACCCAAAAAAAAAACAACTTTATATTTGTATTCATTCATTTAAAGGAGAAAAAGAAATTCACCTACAGTCTACACTGCCTCTTAGTGAAATTCCTTGCTGAAAGAATTTTTGTTAGCAAAGTTTTTAACCTCCTAGATCCAGCTCCAGGTTTCAAAACACCATAATTCTGACTCTGCAAACTTGAGCATGCTCTTTGTTTCTTTCCACTTTCAGAACACCAACCCCCATAAGGGAATTTTCCATACCTCCTCTTGAGAAGCTCTCTGTCAATTTTGTCAAGAACTGGGTCATTTATTTTAAATTTTCTCGCAAATGGACGGCTGCTCAGAACCATTCTTCTGAAATCTTTGAGTCCTAGAGACTTAGGGTGTTGCTTTGGAGGTATATCCCAAGTAATATAGTGAAGGTCACGGTTGACTGTTGTGTTTTTATAGTCTTCAGAGTTGCATATCAATGTCTGGAAGTAACCTTCAGGAGAGGACACAAAATTGGTATAGTAAAGGAGCAAAATCCTTGACAAGTTGTCCCAGCCCACTATGCAATACTCAGCAAAAGATCTTGAGATCACAGTCCAAGCTGATCCTGTTGTTAAGAAGGAAATGATGAGGATTTATGTTAAGATAACTTTATTGAAGTTGAATTTTTTTAAAGAATCATGACAATATTTTCTGATCCAGCACAAAATTATTGTAAAAGGAAAAAGAAATACAATACCAACTAGATATGAACTTGCCTAAGCTGTAAGTTTGGTTACCCATTTTAGAAACAAATCAATTATGGATTATTTGAGTTGAATAAAGATTTTTAAGCATAAAATAGATGTTAATGTAATTATATCATCACCATCATCACCAAGGCCACAACTTATTACAAACCCAAAAAATCACCCCCAACAGTTCTAAGTCAGTCATCAGGTTTTCAAGAGTAGCATATGCAAGTTCATAAGAAAATGCACTAATTGACATTTCCACAGCATAAAAAACTTTTGTGTGTTTAGCTTAATTATTTCATACAATTACTTTTAAAAAATAACATTTAGTACATATCACATTCAAATCTCAATACTAATAATTTTTTTACCCTATCCCCGAGCTGTGACCTCATTTATGCTAAAAAAAAAAGAACTTTCTAATTAAGCATCTTTCATTGTTTAATCAACTCCAAATTTGCTTGTCATTCTGCATCAGATTGACTATTTAGGGAACCACAGAGTTTAATTCATAATTAATGTTTATACTTTATAATATAGTCTAGAACTTATCAATGACCCTGTACGAGACAGGATAGCACGTGTATTCCAATTTGAACAAATCAGGAATATATGCCATTGGCACATGGATTTTCTAGATCATGTAAGTCTGGTTTTTTGCAATCTATCCCTGCTCCTATAATTATAAAAATTTAATGTCAAATATTATAAATTTCTTGGTGAATATGATAGCCTAAATGTCAATGAAAACAAAAGAAACTAATCCATGCAAAATCTTCAAAGAGTATAATGCATCAAACTTATAAAACTAGAAATTTCCTTTTCTTTCCTTTCATCTTTCCTGGAATCAAACAGAATGCAAAGATCTTATCGAGAAATAGAATTTGTTTATGTGATTTGATTTACTAACAGCATTGTTTGGTGATTCAATGATCATGGTCAAACCCAACATAGTTACAAGGCTAGTTTGGTAGAATGATGGAATACCAAGCAACATTGGTTAGAGCCCTGTTTAGTGGGAGATTATTACATCAATCTCCCAGCTAGCAACAGCTCACCAACCTTACCCACCACGAGTCATGTGAGAAGCACCAACAAAAGCCTAATCAAGCCAAATTCACAATAAAAAGTAAAAACATCCTCTGCATCTTCAAAGAACTCACTGCCTTTTTATTTCAAAAAAAAAAAAAAAGAAATCATTGCCTTTTGGTTTTGTCTTATGATCTTTAACTATGGAGTTTAAACCTCTGGTAGTATTTTCAATTGATGATTTTCAACATATCTGTCAATGGCAATAAATAAAAAATAAGGAAAAAGATAAACTAATTAATAAAAATATGCCAAAAACACAACGACCCAGTTTTACAAAATTCCAAAATTTTTCCCTAATAAATTCGAAGGCATGTACCATGTGAATGTACTATGGAACTTTTCATTGTGATGTCCCTTCACTTTGTTCAGTAGCTCACATGGCAGAGATGAGTGAGTTTTTTTTTTTGAGATTTTCAAAGAAAATTTTAAGGAGACATTGGAGAAATAATCAAATAAAGAGATATGGAGAAAAACCTGTATAGAGGTTGAAAGCAGTGGGCAGCGTCCTTTGTTTAATATCCCACCATATCTCTGACTTGTTGAGGCTGTAAAGCGCTGGGTCTATTATTATAGGTTTCCCTCGCTTGTTCCTGCAAAATTTTTTTTTTTAATTATGAATTCATATTCTTTTAACAGGACAGAATAAAATATCATGGTAAAGATATTATAATAAAAGAATTAGAGTAAAAAATGGCAAAATGATTAATATTTGAAAAAAAAATTCCCTACAGTTTCCAACCCAGGTGACTGCTATGCTGAATGAAATTGAGATCTTTTGGCAAACCAGAAAAGGCATGAATCAGATCTGAAAAACCCCAAAAAATATGAAAGTCATGAACTCACAACATCATCATCGGAAAGAGAAATTCTAAACCTGCAAAACAAAACTATATGAATCTACAAACAGATAGGAAAGAAAAAACTGTTGGAAAACATCAAAACAAGGCCACTCACCATACCATCTTGAGTTACCAAAGGATAGTCAGAAGCACTAAGATTAATAAACCAATCCCATTTGCAGCATCTCAAAAGCATTGACATTGCATGAAGAGTTGTAGCAAGCATAGTTGGACCTCTATAAGTGACTAAGTTTGGTTTCCCAACAATATAAACATTACCAACCATGCTAAAAACTGGGTCATTTGATACAAACTCTGCAATCTCCCTGTGCTCCCAGGCAGGTGCATCGTAATCCAGGTGAATCAGATACTGGTTTCCAGGGTGATACACGGCGCGCATGGTACGTTTTAGCTGCATAGTGTCCCCTTTGGATGCTGAGATTAAGTAGGCAAATGTAACTGGATATGTCCTGTTGGATTTTTGTACAATGTTCATGGTTGTCATTGGATTGAACCTTGTAATAGGGATGCTTAGTTTAGTTGGGATGAATATAACAGAGAACAGAAGTGAGGTTACCGTGAATGAAATCATGAAAATTTTGATGTCCATTTTAGCTGGAAAAATAAAATTTGTCATGAAGAAAAAAACTGGAGGGATGGTTTTAATGGCATTTGTGTTAAGATTGAGGGAATAATGAAAATGTCACATGGAAGTGTGTGGTTTAGATTTTTGGAGGGTTCCTTACTTTGAAATGAAGGCCTCCATCTGTCACCCAGTCAATTTGTTTGGTAGGAAAAGACTTTTAGTACCAGTTGGGTAATTGAATTACTATTTTGCCTATGGTTTATGTGGGACAAAGATTGGATTATTGTAGGGTATTTGTGGAATTAAACTTGAAAGAATACAAGTTCGAAATTGTTGAATTTTTATCAAATTGCCCTTTCAGCAGATGCTGCTGCTAAACCTGAAAGATATGATAAGCATTAAGTAGTCAATATTCTTACCAAAGAGAAGAAAAAAATGAAAAGCATTCAACATATTCTACATGAAGCTTTTTTTTTTTTGTTTAATTTTGCTTTACTTGGTTATGCAAAAATGGAGATTAGGCCTGAGAACTTGATTGGTCCAGTTGAAGTTGGGCAGCTTCATATGGGTCGTTTAACTTGATAGAAACCCAATAAAATTTTGAGTAAGGCGTAGGCCTAAAGTTCCCCAGCAGCCTGGATGGTCCAAAGCAGAAAGAAAGAAAAAATTTGATAGAATTATTTAATTATTTTCCCCCAAGTTATCTAAAAAAAAAAAAGTCTCTAATCTCAAATGTAAAATCGTGTGTTTTACATCTGTGGTTTGATAATTGCATCTCAAAATTGAAGACATTTTTTTTCCAACAATTCTTCCATTCAACTTGAATTTTTCTAGCTAAAAGAAAGAAAAAAAAAATCTTTTTTCCACTTACATGGAAAAATTATTTGCAAAGAAATTCAAGGAAAAAAAAAAAAGCAAGAGTGTTATACCTCGACAGTCATGTCATCACATCGGACTACAGCATTATAATTTACACATATTTTAAAATAGATAATTATTTATACAAACAATCGGGTCAGTATCCATAAAAAATAAAAAGAGAATGAAATTAGGTATGCAACTATCTCATTACTCTCTTTTCTGCTCTTTTCTCTTCTCTCTCGTTTCTTTCCTTTCTTTTCCTTAAATACTTCATTAATGTGAATATTTGAGCACATCCCGAAATTCTTAGTTCTGTGTCTTTGTGATCTTCTTTCTCTTGATAAATTTGACAGACCTTAACCAAAACTAGAAGTGCATCAACAGAGAGGAAGGTATAACATCATTGTAAACATGTAAACATCGAACATAAGGTGATACCTATGCTTTTTGGTTGAAAAATTAAATATGACAGATGAGGACCCAAAGTGCTAAACAACGAGTATTTTGGTTAGGGCACATGATTCATGCAACCCTAGGCCAACCTATCATTGCCCATGTCATTTACTCGAAACTGGTTGGCTTATGGTTCAGCATTTATAGAACTCTGTACCTAACATATCTTTTATTCACATATCATAACTTTCCCATGTTTTCTTAAACTTTTAATTGGATAATATATCTCTTGGTTCTGCAACAAAGACAATAAAGAGGATCATGAACAACAATTTTCTACAATATGGTTGGTGCAAAGAAAAGAAAATTATAAATAATTTTTTTATTCAATGATTCATATCTCTTAAGAAGAAAACATTGATTCTATAAATACTTTAGTATAATTGTAACATGTAATTTCATCAAATCTACTTAAGAGGGGTTAAGAAGTTTAATCGCACTTCATTTTTTCGTATATTATAAACTTAGCCATTAGAATAAAATAATTTTTCAGCATTGATCAAATTCAACTTTGAAGACTTCTTTTTTGTCCAGTAAGAGCCATGTATATACCAGCAAATAGCTGATAAATTAGATAATTATCTTCCCTGGAAATCAAAGTTTTGAGGCATGCACAATTTTTTTCCTAGTACTATTTTTAAATTTTGCAGAAACCTAATTTTTTGGTGATAGTTTCTAAAAGCATACTCTATAATCTATTAATTTAATGTATTCAAGATTTTATTTTAAAAATGCTATTCATAAGTATCGTATCTTAATTTATAAAAAAATTTATGTTTAATATATTATAATATATAAATTTTATATATTATAAATAAATAAAATGATAATATATATATTCGGACAATGTATCCCATATAACTTTTTATTAAAAAGCTCTTCCTAGCCCATTGAATTTGACAATAAATAATAAACTGAATTTTAGGCTTTCTACGACGTTTAAAATTTAATTGGTTTCTGGTCCCTCTTCCCAAAGGCCATTTGTCGCTCACCTAACCCGATAACCAAAATTTCTACGTATGTTTTTTGTGATGGGATTGGTAACTAACCAGTCATCACCAATTTATCAATAAGAGGCTTTAGGTTGACCTTTTTCCTTGTATCCTTGCAAAAGGTTTTTGTTTTTTTATCCTTTAATGTACATATCAAGCATTATCAAGGTCTCTTCAAGCCCATTTATTGCTTATTTTACTTCTTGCTTCTTCTTCTTCCTCTTCTTCTTCCCCATCAAGGCTCTCTGCTTGAAATATCTGCCTAATGTTTTCATTTCATTAATTCGTGTATCTTAACCTTCTTCCATTTTCTTCTCAAGGAGGTCTGCTTGCTTGTTTTCTGTTTCCTTCTTTGTTTCTGCTTCATTTTTCTTTCAACTGGTTGGCACTGGCAGACACAAAAACCAAGCATCAAGATAGCAGCAACAGTGGCGGGACAATTCATAAGGAAGCTCTTTCAAATCGTTTTCTATATTCAGTTGTTCATAGTCTCAATCTTAGTAATCGTCTTAACAATCCGTGGCCTCATCTATTCCAGCAATACCAATCGTTTCCACCCCAACAAATGGTACCCTCCACTTCTTGTTTCAACAGCTTCCGCTGGAATTGTTTCTTTTATATGGCAATCCATCTCTTTTCACAATCCATCAAAAGCCATAAAAGCGGCCTTCTGGTTTAGTCCCTTGCTAACATGTGCAGTTGGTGTGCTCCATGTATTAATTGGTTCTCCGGTAAGTTTAGCAGTCGGTACAATTGCAGTAGTTTCTGGCATGATCCAATCCCTTTATGCCTGTTGGGTCAATCGCAGATATGAATATGCAACCAAGATCCTCACAGTATCCACATCTTTTCCTCCCGATAAAACTGCTACATTTGTTACCATATCCATCATAACCTGTGTACTCTACTCCTCTTTCTTGGTGACTGGAATTGGAGGAGCAACCGCGACAGGAACTAGCTTAGACATCTTGTTCATCATAATAATCCTGCTTACTTTCACATGGAGTATGCAAAGTGATCAAGAACATGCTGTATGTGACAATCTCACGTGTCAGATACGTGAATTTTGCTTGTGGAGTTGACATGAACACTCGGATTGCTTTGCGCGACACAGTCAAGCATTTGGTAGGAAGTGTATGCATAGGCTCAGCGCTTGTTCCTGTTATTGTAACCATTCGGGGCTCAGCCAGAGCTATCAATTTGGTTGCTGGGGACAAAGACGAGTTTTTGTTCTCATGTGCTAATTGCTACTCAGGAGTCGCTTCAGCTCTAATAACTTATGGGAATCGCTGGGGGTTTGTTCATTTAGGGGTTTATAACAAAGGTTTTGTGCAGGCATCAGCCGATACATGGGAAATGTTCAAAAGGGCAGGATTGGTTTCATTGATTGATTCTGACCTTACAGGGGTGTTCTGTTTTTTCTCTGGGGTTGCAGTCGGTTCGATATGCGCCCTAGCCGGAGGAACATGGGCGCTCATAATTCACAAGAGCTATGCAACAGAAGTCTCCATCTACGCTTTCTTGATCGGCTATTTCAAGGTAATGGTGTAAACCTTGCCTGAGAAGTTCGCAACATTTCCTATAATGAAACTTATAAACACATTTATTTTGGTTTGTCAGTGTCGGATAGCATTGGCCTGGCAACAAGCGTGTGTTTCAGCTTACTATGTTGCTTATGCTGAGGACCCTCAAAACCTTCGGTTTGATGCAACAATCCCAATTCGCATTCAAGAGCTTCAGAGATATCAAGTATAACAGTCAATGTTAAGCTATAGAAGGAGCAGATGGATATTTAACCAAAGGATTCATCGTGCGGACTACAAAATTCTTACAATTTTGGCAGGCCTGTTTGGTAGCAAGAATTCTGCATCTTCTTCACTGTAAATTCCATACATTACTGTTGCAAGTTTGAGCATCTTTTAAAAAGATAGACTGCATGTGAAATGGAATATTTTCTCATTATAGACAAAAAGAAAGCAGATTGCTATGGCAACAGAGCATTTTCAATGCAATAGAAGAATTCATCTAATGAATATATTTTCCACCACTGCTCCCCGTTTAAAGTTAAACGCATTATTTATGAACAAGTACCATGGGAAATCAATAGAGACATACATTTCAGCACAAAGCAAATGCAGTTCCGGATCAATCAACATACCAAAGGGATTTTAAAATGAAGGCAAACACCATTAGAAAATTGCATGAGTCAGATGCATTAATTTAATTTCTTTTATCCTGGACTATCAAAATAGGACATTGAATTTTGTGAACAAATTACAAGGCTAGAATGAATGAAATTCCAATGTGTAAATTCTACACATAAAAGGCTACCACAAATTTTCCAAGATAGTGGGGCCAACCACAAGTTATTTGGATCCTAGGTGACCACGGCCACCGCATTCTGAGCACATAATATTGCCAGTTCCTCCACAACCTGAACAGTAACAAATATTATACCATTACAAAATATTGGCCACATATAAGTATAACAGCAAAACCATATTAACAAAAACTTAGAACACATGAAGTTGTTAAAAGTTTACATGTTAAAATATGATAGAAGATGAAAAATGAACAGTGAATGCATTATAAGAAAACACAAGTGGCCCCCAATGAGGACAAATGTGGTAGCAGTGACAAGCTTGTATTCTATGAATGCCTGTGGTGATAGGAAAAAAACTGCATTTGCAATGTTAATAGGGAGATTACTCAAGTCAATCCATGTGATGAACTCAACTGAAGGTCTCATGTTCATTTTGGTAATTTAAACACATAATGCATTCCACTGAGGAGCGTGAAAATTTCTATTTCACAATGTTTACATTGTACAAAAGCAAGATATGGGAGCCTTAAGGCAAGAAATGACCACATCATACATTGAATTTTACTTAACACAGAAGCATCAGTGTACAGTGCTACTTTAATCACATGATTCACATCAAAACCTCTTTAATTTCACGAAAGATCCTTTTGTTATTTCCCTCCAAATCAAACAGAAAAACGTAACTAAAGAATTTCCTTGTAATAGACTGGTTTCAAGGATCCTATTTAGAACTCCATCGGTCTATCATGCAGAATCAGGCTTTCAGGATAGAATATGGTTGCCTTCTATAGCAATACAAAATAAGAACATGACAGATATAGAATATTAACTACATAAACATCCATTTACAAACAGGAAATCTTTGAAGAAGAATTCATTTACCTAGGCAGCGGACTTTGACAATGATACCCTGGCTCTCCAATACTGAATCCACATATAATCCAGAACCAGAGCAAGTGGTACAAAGGACGGCACCTTTGGCCTCACAATCAGTGCAACGGGGATTATCTCCAACTATTTTTTCAGCCAAAGATACCCCAACTGGTTCTTCAATTCGTTCCTCTGGGATAGGCTTATCATAACAAAATAGAGATTCCAGACTGCTTATTCGTCTGTGTGCATCTCCCACTACCCTTGACTCAGCCTGTAACACCAGAGTTTACCATTACCATTACACACACCGGTAACTGACTTATCTTGAAGGTGTATCAGTATTATAAATAGTCACACATCGCTTATAATGATGAAACTCTACTTACTCTACAGCACAATTATCTTAATAGTATAGGAAATCAAAGCAACCACAAGAAACAACATTAGGACATCCATCTGCTAATGATTTTCAATAAACCTAAAGAAGCACCGTAATAGAAACAACATTAACAAAGCTTTCCAAATCATCAAGGTTTTGTATGATTGTTACTTTTGCTTCTTGGTTTTTACTACTTGCATTTTATTCTTCATAAGAAGCATCTAAAAAGCAAAAGCAAATGGTAGAAAAAAAACTCCAAACAATTGATAAATATGAGCAAAAAACTAAAATTTAACACCAATTCTATCATACTCTTTTTATGTACAAATTTAAAGTTCAACATTTTAACATTTTGAATTAAGTCAAATCAAAAGAAACCCAAGAAGGAAAAACAAATTGCAAATAAATTCACATATTGTAGCATTTTTCCCAAAGGAAATATCTACTGTAATTCAACAAACAAAAATGGCTCAAATTAAAATAAAAAGGATTCTCTTTTCATTCTACAAATTTTCAATTAATAAATTTTGAAGAACCCATCACAGTTTAATATGAAAAACATGAAAATTATGGTAAAAAGAGGAGAAAGGAAAGAAATGGAACTAACCCCGTGCGAAGCAGAGGCAGATATAGAGCCATTGGAACAAACGGCGCAGATTTTATTGTTCCTTCCATTGGATCCAAAACCATAAGAAATTTTGTTACAATTATTCAATTTTGGAGTTGAATTTATTGGAAATATTATTGAAGACGATAATTTCATGGTAGACTCCATTATATCTCAAAATTAAAAAACAAAAATCAAGAAAGCGAGAGTCTTTGATGAAAATCTTGGAATTGGAGAGATGGGTTTCGGAGTAAATTCGAAACTTTTTAAGAAAGCTTCGGAGACATCGAAGAACTGAGATTTTCCTTTTTGATGTAAGGCTCTGCGTAAGTATCCAAATGTCAAGACAATAATTTTTATTTTGTTACAATTAAATTAAAATATTTAATTTCTACAAAAAAATTTTATTTAAATTTATTTAAATAATAAGTATTTGAGAGTATTATTTTAAAATTTTTTATAATTAAATTTTATTTATTTATATTTAAGATTTAATAATATAATTATAATAAAATAAAAATTCATAATTGTGATGTAATAAAAGATAGAACGTTTGTTTTATTTTTTAGTAAATTTAAAAGAGTTTATTTGGGTATTGTTTTAAAAGCAAGATGAGAAAAAGAAAATTATCGTTTTGGTTGGATTATAGGATCCGAAAGGCATAATGTGGGCATGGCCCAACATAGTATGGATCATTAGACTTTTCAATCTACCGAATTCGGGGCAGATCAGGCCTATTTTCCTTGGGCCAATTAGATTCATAGCCGATTGTTTTTGTTGCTTAATTTTCGTTAACACCATTTTTTTAAAATTTTAATTTACCATTGAATCCCGACCTTAATATTTACTGATTTGAAAAAAATATTATACTAAAATTATTATCAATAAGAATCATTGAAAATACTAAAATTTAAAATTATTATTAACTATTAAAACAAACATGGTTATCGATCGAACCAATCCCTTTTTTATTATTGTATGTTCCATTTTTTTTTTTGATTGAAATAAACATAGTTAGTACCTTCCACACGAGGCTTATATAACTAAAAATGATGGTGGCTATAATTAATGTCAAATTGGGAACAAACAATTATCGTGTTCACACTTCATAACTGGCTTCAGATTCACGCGTATATTCCTTTCATACGGACTACCGCGTGTACGATTTGCTTTGCTGTTATTGGTGCAACTAAGAGACAAAAGTGTGCTTAATTATGTATAATCGTTTCTTTAATCCAATCGCTATACAACTCCTATAGAAATAAAATTTTCACCCACGTTGTAGAACTCTCCAAACTGTTGTGAAACCAGGAAATATTCCTGAGAGATCACCTGCTTTAACAGCACATGCAAAAGGTTAGTTCCTGTCTTGGATTTGCTTCTCTCTTTCCAGCTTAGCTAATAGAGAACAAGAGTTTGATCCTAGCTCAATCTTTTATACCCTGATTGCCGCAGTCCAATTGAGTTCCTTGATCATGATTTAGTACAAACATTTTTGTGCCTGGAAGAAGTTTTTTTGGTTAGAGTTTCTGGTATGGGTACTTGGGTTTTTGTATCTGAACACAAGAGCAAGAGGTACATCGTTTTCTTGAATATTTCATTTCTCCTGGTGGCATTTGTTTTCTTGATGATATGTTTCAGATCTTCAGGAGTTCTTGTTCTAAGCAGCTATAATTCCAATATTGGTAATAATCAGCAAGACTGTAAGGGCTTGGAGAATTTAGATGATTACAAAGCCAAGTGCTCTTACCTTAAGTTCAAAAATCCATGTGTTTCTCAAGGCTATGTTGATTATCTTTACCTTTTTTATTGCAATTTTGGAAGATTTCCCTTGTTGGGTTATTGCCTTCTAATTCTTTGGCTCCTTGTGTTGTTTTATCTTTTGGCAAACACAGCCTCTGAATACTTTTGTTATTCTCTTGGAAGTTTATCAAGCCTGTTAAAATTATCACCTACACTAGCTGGCGTCACACTGTTGTCTCTTGGTAATGGTGCCCCGGATGTGTTTTCCAGCATAGTCTCCTTCATGGATAGTGGAACTGAGGACATTGGCCTGAGTACAGTTCTGGGTGGTGCTTTGTTTGTAACTTGTGTTGTGGTCGGAACCATGAGCACTTTGTTGCACCGGAAACGAATTCAGGTTAACAAACCTGCCTTTGTAAGAGATGTTTGCTACCTCCTCCTCGTTTTTGCATCCTTAATTTTGATATTGATTTATGGGAAAATCAATCTTTGGGGAGCAATGGCTTTTTTTTCGCTGTATATTGTTTATGTTATCCTTGTTTACATCATCTATATTTTTTGGAATTCTGGTGGCACCGACAACATGGATTCAGATTCAAGTTATAACGGTGGTTTGAGCATACCCATTTTAGATGGAATTGAGAGAGTGGAGATTGATTGTTTAGAGGAAGGGAATCTGGAACCTGAAGAAAAAGAAGTACAATTCAGGCAATGTTGCTTTTGTTTAAGAATATCAGCTACTTGCAGTATGTTGCTTTGGATCCTTAAGATGCCCCTTTATTTGCCAAGGAGACTGACAATTCCAATTATTTGTCAAGAGAGATGGTCTAAGCCAGTGGCAGTTGTTTCAGTGACATTGGCACCGATTCTCTTATCTGTACTTTGGGACCTTCAAGATGACAATCTGACCTTCAAGACAGATCTGGTGGTCAATGGAATTGGTTTCCTGTTTGGAATCTCATTTGGGGTTCTTGCATATTTTACTACTGAAAAATCTAGCCCACCAAAGAAATGCTTGTTCCCTTGGGTAGCTGGAGGGTTCTTGATGAGTGTGATTTGGAGTTACTTTATAGCTCAAGAATTGGTTGGCTTATTGATTTCACTTGGCTACATACTCGGGATCAGTCAGTCTATCCTTGGTCTGACCGTCCTTGCTTGGGGCAACTCACTTGGAGATCTAATAACCAACTTGACAATGGCATTGAATGGTGGTCCAGAAGGAGCACAAGTGGCTATATCAGGCTGTTATGCTGGCCCAATCTTCAACATTCTCTTTGGTTTAGGCTTGTCTCTTATTGGCTCTGCCTGGTATGGATACCCTTCACCAGTTCAGATCCCTACAGATCCTTATCTCCTGGAAACCCTGGGTTTTCTAGTTTCTGCGTTGCTATGGGCACTTTTGGTTCTGCCAATGAGAGATATGAGGCTTGATGGGGTCCTGGGAGGAGGGCTTTTTCTGATCTACTTGACTTTCATGTCTTTAAGGGTGATTCAAGTAGTTGGACTGCTCTAGCTTCATACATTTACGTACTACTTTTATATCACATGGAAAACCATATGTAATTATTAGATTTATAGATTGCAATCAATTTTTTTATATGCCTACCTGTATGTTAACCAACTAACTTTCATTCACTGGCATGTCACCTTACTCTAATTTCAACACATCAATGAAATCTCCATTCTTTCATAACCATCATTGTTGCATCCCGGTTTGCAACAAATTCATAGGAAAAACATATCTGATGCCTGAAACTTTGCAGGATTTTATGGTTGAAAATATGGCAGTAGAATTAGAATCAGGAGAAGCTGAAGTTTTGATGGGATGGTTTATTAGAAGATATTAACCTGAATAAGAATCTAAAATTTAATTCAATAATTCACACCGTTATTCATAAAAATTGATATTTAATAATTTTAAAATTTAAATTTTAACAATTACAACACATTTTTTTTATCACAAATTGCAATCTCGTTTAGAAAATATAATATATATTAACTTATATAAAATCTCAAGATCTCATTAAATGAAATGAAATTCATTTTAATACATAAGAGGAAAAAAAAAGATCGAATCTTAGATCTTATCTTTTATAAAGAGAGTTAATAATCAATCAAACCTGTATTATAATTCCAATGAAATTCAGTTCATACTTCTTGTGTATGACGCAATGCAAATATTTTTCAATTATTTTGTTGCAGAAAAATGAGCCAATAATTGTACTTTTCTACAACTTTTTCCGTTGTTGAAGGATCTGTCATCCAAAGCTAGAGACAAATGAATTAAGATTGAGTAGGCTTGTTTGATGAAAATAGCCAAAGAAACTAATATCACTTTAGAACCTGTTAACTAGCCAATTAAAATTAGCACTCCAAGGCAAAATCACATGAACTTAAAATTTTAAATAGTTGGGAAAAAAGGCAATAATTGAGGGTCTAAGAAGAGATTTCGGTTTAATTAGAATTTTTTTTATATCCGAGGTTGTCAACAATTGATCTTTGATCATTGGAACAAAAAAATTCATCACACCACTGTTGGCTAACTAGAACATTGTCCACTAAAATTAGAAAGGAAAAAAAAAATCCAAAATAATAAAATTATTGTTACTTCTTTACAAAGAAAGTCACTACCTAAAGATAAAAAAAAATTACAAATGTTTGAATTTAAATCTCAGACCTGTTATATATCATAAACTAATTGAATTAAATTTTAAATTTTAATATCTCACTATCATTTGGGTTTCTTTCTTATAATCCGTCGATCTATCCTTAAATTACAAACTTCTATATTATCTCTGGATCTTGATAATGGAAACCTTGGTAGAAACATGGTGAAAGAATACTTCCTGGTTAAGATGAAACCAAGGTGCAAAACTCCATATCTTTTTGTCAACATGCAAAGGGAAGTACGAAACCGTTGTTGACAGAATAGGTAAAGAAACAAACAATGACACAGGCAAAATTATTTTCATCTTCAATTCAGTTGAGATTTCAATGCAATATGATCCATTTGAGGAGGAACATTAATGTCAAATTTGCCTTTGCCACACAGTTTTTGGCACTGTGCAATTTTTGGTCCCACCTTTGATTGAATAGTTTCATTCAGCATTTTATCAAGAAAAATTTGCCGATTGCAATGTCAGCTTCATCCTCAAAATCAACTTCCTTGAGATTATCCCCAACAAAAAAAAAAAATCAATTGACAGCAACCAGACGTAATTAAGTTTAATCCTAATGGAAAAATTGGACATTCTCAAATCCAATTTATTAATTGACTCCATATCTATTTTGTCCAACTTATTTGTCTAGGTGATTTTCACTACCATAAATATGTAATATTATGTTTATTACTGATGAAATTTTATAAGAATGTCAGACAGAACGAAAGCATGATTATTATCAACGGACTACAACAGAAGTTATCAATAAATAGTAATCTGTATCTGGAAGGAAATGAAAATGTTAATGCAAAAATTAGCAACGAAAATTTCAGATTTTCCATTAGTATATTATAATAAAATCATTGAAAGAAGTCGATTTGTTTCATCTTTCCTCTTGAGCTCTATGTATGATAGAAAACAAAAAAAAAAAAAAACAAAACTAATTATCATTAATAAAGTATAGTATTATAACATGAAATTAACTTGCCCTGAAATAAAAATAGATCCAAAAATGAAAGGTCCGTCCATTGTAGCATAAGGCATAATCTACTTATAACAAGCACTCCTTAATTTATAATTAAAAAATGTACTATAAGTTTATATATATAAAAAAAAAAAAGATTAGAAAGCCCATTTAACCAAGTCAGTCAAACTTCGTAATCTTGATGAAATCCCATTGGAAGATGTTGAAGATGAAGATCTTGAATCTTTACTTGATGAAGACATATAAAAATGATCAAACTCAAAATTTCCTTGAGATTTTGCTCTAGCCTTTTTATTGCCTTGACAACTTTTCTTGTATTTCTTCCAAAGCCAAGTTTTTGTTTCGCTTGACATATCGGTATTGCATGGCCCATCAAACTCTTGGCCATTCCATGAAGAAGCCGGTGGTGGCCTGATCGGAGGGACGATAATCTCTTTCCTTGGTATAAGATGATGATGTCTAGGGGTTCCTGGCTGTGACTCCCATTCGAATGGAATTTCACCGACGCTCCGTTGGTAAGGGACATCGACTGAATTATCCATGAATGAATTATTCCTTGCAAGAATTTTACGCAAAAATAATTCATTAACTTGTAGAGCAGAAACTGTTCTAATTTCTTCAACTTGGCTATTTTCATTGTCCATTTTCAATCACATAGAAGCAATTATGTTAACCCAAGCTTGTTATGAATAAATTGTGAGCATTTCATTTTTTATAGTAGGGATGTAAATGAAGATCAAATCATATCCAGCAAAATTAGAAATTTTATTCACTAAAATGTTAATATGATCATACAAAATCCCTACTTAACATAAAATAAAAGTAAACTTTGACCGTCATTCAATTTCCGAAATTAGAATTTTATGCTTTCAAATTTATCGATTTTATAATAAATTATGTGACTGATCTCATTATTTTGTTTCAAATATTTATATTTTTTCATAACAAATAATTATTTGATAAATTCAAAAGTAAGGTCTATACATTCATGGGCAAGTCAATAAAAGTGGTGGGACAAAAGCAATGGGAGTAATAGGATATAGTTCTCTCTTATTTATTCAATCATTCGCTTCCATTATTAAGTGTATTTGTGAAATGAATCAAATAAAGCCAAATTATTATTTCTATATTTGTTCAAGATTTTAATTTATATTTGTTTATTCACTTCAAGCTCAAGCTGAGAATTTGTGCTTTAATAGCATTTATTATTTTGCGTTTAGTTTGCCAACATTCTTATTTATTTTTCATTTTTAAGTTGCAAGTTCTTCTGCATCAAAATAATTTTAACCGCTTGAAAATTGGCATAAAAAACTTGCCTACAGATTAGGTGTGGAAAACCCCCCAAATAAAAAATTAAATAAAAAGAAAGAAGAAATTTTCTTTAAAACTCTTGAAAATGAAAATAAAAACTTTGAAATATATATCTCCTATGGAAACATCCCCTTCCACACAATCAGAATTAATGAAAAAAGTTTTCTAAAAGAAAATTAAAATTTAATTCTCAATTCATACTCTTATCCATTATTTTTCTAGGTTAATAGCTTCCTAAATCATATATAACATATAAGACGCATCATCGAGTGGGTGAAATGTCAACATAATTGCTTCAATGAACTGTAAAAGGGGTCCACATGGGAAATAATTGCCTTCTCTGCCTTGTTACTCCTACCTTCTTCAAGCCTCAAAGATATAATTAAAACATTTTTGCAGAGAATCCATGCATGTGAACATCATTCAATGTTGGCTATTGTCATGTGTCGGTGTCCCAGAGTTGTTGTGTTCCTTGGCATTTAGCTTATTGTCAAGGGAAACAAGTTAAATCCACAGTCAAAATAGGTGTCTGCAAAGTTTTGGGTATGAAAAGTTTTTATTGATAAAAGACGAGTTGCCCTGTTTGCCTCTCTGTTGATAGGCATGCTGTCCCATGACGTGAACCTCTCTAGGCTACTTTAAACCTCCTCCATAAGGGCATCAACATAGGACAGGTTCCTGTTACCCTTCCTCTTTACTTGGCTAATAGACTCCCTTGCGTCACCCTCCACAACAATCTGATTACACGCCATTCTGCTGCCAGCTTTTCTGCTTCCACCATAGCCAGTGCTTCAATTATCCCAGGGTCACAGATGCCTGGAAACTGTTCGCTCCAAGGACGCCACCTTCTGATCCACGGGCCACAGCTCCTATTCGTCCCAGTCCTTTCTGTACGTCCAGGGCCCCATCAAAATTAAACGTTTATACATATGAAAAATACAAAATTAAACATTTCAAAACTAAACTCGGAACCAAAAAAAGAAGAAAGCATTGAAAGTTGAATTAAAAAAAAAAAAACATTTTTAGTGTAATAAAAATTTTTTAGATTTATATAATTAAAATTTTTAATAATATAATTACGTGACGTAATTTAAATTAAAAATTTATTTTAACGTGGAGTAACGATTTCCTACAATATTTTTTTCAAATTTTTGAATGTTTAGAAACTTTATTAGAGGAAAAAAAAAGAGCTCTAATTGTTCATGTGAGTGTGAACGAAAAAGATTTTATTTTTTTATCAATAATATTTAATACACATATTATAATTTATTTTTTAGAAGCAAAAAAAAAAATTGTATTCGTATGCAAAAATTAAAAATATTTTTGTATAAATTAAAATTTAATTATAATTTTTCATGAAAAAATATATGATTTTATTTTTTGACCAAATATGATTTTATTATTAAATAACTAGTTTTATTATATTTTAATTTTAAAATATATTATAATTTTAAATATTTTAATAATAAATTAAAATTACATAAATTTAAATAAATAAATAAATTGATAAATTGAATATCAAATATTAATTGAATCTAGTCCGATGTGATTAATCTCACAAAAACATCTCTATACAATGCCCAACATGAGCGAAACATAAACTAACAAAACTAAAAGACACCCATCATGCACAATCATGCTCTAGAGATTTGCATGATAGTTTAAATGTTAAACCTTACTTATCCAACTTATGTTGAATAAGCTTTTTCAAACGTTCTACCATTGCAGGTGTGAGATAATTGATCCAATCTCCCGGTTTTGCTTTCCTGAACAAGGTGTTGTGTGACCATATATTATACACAAAGTTATAATGACAAGTTAGAGCAATAGAGACTAAAAAAACAATTTTTTTATTTGAAGTTCTCTGATATTAAAAATTTAAGACTCTGACAACATTACACGCACCGTCAGCAAGACAATTATTTTGCTGGCAACTTAATACAATTTCAGCTCAAATAAAAAAAAAATTTGACAAATATATTTGTTTTAATTTAATTTAAAATGATATACTTCAAACATAATTTACAAACAAATAAATTTTTATAATTGTAAAAAAATCTTCTAAAATATTTTACTCAAAACTTAATCAAAATTTAATTACACTCTTTTAATAATTTAGTTATCTAACTATTTTTTGGTGTTTAATTATCTTAGACTATCAAATTAAAATCAAAATATTTTATTTATAAAAATGAAATCTCTTATATTTTTATTAAAATTATTAAAATCTCCATATAAGATACAAAATAAATTTAAAACTCTTATAATTTTTTTTATGTAAAATTTTAAGATTTAAAACAAATTCTAACAGAACATGAGTAACTTTTTTAGATGAGAAATGATGTTTTCGTGAAGATCTTCGTATTGTAAAAATAATATTTTGTTGGGTTTTTCTTGGCTTGCCTTCCAATGCCCTAATACATGATCAAAAAACGGTCCAAACCCATGGATTTGTTGGCATAACATGTCAAAAGCTGCATCTAGTGGTGATGGCTCTACGTTTTCGGGTCGAAACTGGTCAGCAAGCGAGACGAATGTATCCATCGGATTTCTACATATGTAGACAATTTTAGAGTTGGAATCTTTAATGGAAGGTGGCAAAGAAGCATAGGGAATGCGGGTGGAGAGAAGTCTTGGCTGATAAACACAACTATTTTCTAGATCAGGACAAGGGTTGTTCAAGATCATTCTCAAAGGAACGAACAAGTTGGTGAGGGGCCTAATCTGAGCAAGCGACTTTGCTCCATTGCAAATTGGTTGCGATTCACAATTGAGAAAGTCAAAGCCTTGAGCCAAGTAGTGCCGCATTTTGGCTAACTTGTGACAAAAATATCAGTATCAAGTGCTTGGAAATGTTTCTGGAAAGAACTCACAGCTTTCAACACAGGAGATGGGCACCAAAATCCTTGATAGAAATATAGATCACGTCCGGATCAGCTTTTTTCTTTACGAAGGGTTTGCATCAATTCTTGGAATTCATCCTCCCAATTCACCTCATGATCTTCATCTTGGGGAGTGGGAACAATATTAATGTCTTTGGCGAGTTCTGTTGCATCCATAATGAAACCTGCAGTATTAATTTTGAGAGAATAAGGGATAGAAAATTAGAAATGGACACTCTAAACTAGTTATTTAAGAAATTTATAGAAGTTGGTTTCGTAGTATTAATCTATTTCAATTTGATTTTTGTTCCCTCATCTTTGTTTTTCTAATTTGTCATATTTCAATGTTGTAGCCTATGGAATAAAGACTTGGAGGGTGTCCCAGAAGCATCAAATTTATATGTAGGAATTTTATTTTTTTCTTGTTTAATAGCTTCCCAAATCATATATGTATAACATATAAGACCCATCATCGAGTGGGTGAAATGTCAACATAATTGCTTCATCCAATGTACTGTAAAAGTGGTCCAAATGTGATATAATTGCCTGCTCTGGCCTGTTTCCCTCTCTGTTGACATGCATGCTGTCCCATTACGTGAATCTCTCTAGTCTACTTTCTACCTCCTCCATAAGGATGTCAACATAGGATAGGTTCGTGTTACCCTTCCGATTTACTTCTCCCTTGCGTCACCCCCGTTTCAATCTGATTACACCCCATTTCTGCTGCCAGCTTTGCTGCTTCCATCATAGCCAGTGCTTCAATTATCCCAGGGCCACATGGCTGGAAACTGTTTGCAAATCGCTCCAAGGACGCCACCTTCTGATACACGGGCCACAACTCTTATTCCTCCCTGTCCTTTCTGTACGTTCAGGGCCCCATCAAAATTAAACGTTTATTAATATGAAAAATACAAAATTAAACATCTCAAAACTAAATTCAGAATAAAAAAAATTGAAAGTTGAATTAGAAAAAAAGAAAAAACCTTTTTAGTATAATAAAAATTTTTATATCTAAATAATTAAAATTTTTAATAATATAATTACATGATATAATTAGAGTAAAAAATTTTATTTTAACGTAGAGTAACGATTTCTTACAATTTTTTTCCAAATTTTTTAATGTTTAGAAACTATATTAGGGAAAAAAAAGAACTCTAATTGTTCACTGAATGAAATAGATTTTATTTTTTTATCAATAATATTTAATACACGTATTATAATTTATTTTTTAGAAGCCAATAAAAAATTGTATTGGTATGCGAAAATTTAAAATATTTTTATGTAAATTAAAATTTAATTATAATTTTTCATGAAAAAAATATGATTTTATTTTTTGGCCTGTTATGAATTTATTATTAAATAACTAGTTTTTATTATATTTTAATTTTAAAACATATTATAATTTTAAATATTTTAATAACAATTAAAATTAAATAAATTTAAAAAAATAA